TTGGATTTTGTTGGTGTTGGTTTTGATTTTGTTTTGCATAATTTTCAATAAATGTATCATTAATTTAGTCCCAAACTTTTTGCCACGTCTCTAAAGCTCTAAAGATTTTTTGACTAAACACGCTTCACGCGGGTGTGGGTGGGCAATATGCTAATTAATTCTTAATGATGAGAGCCTAGGATTGACTTGTCCGCATTATCATTTATAATTCATTCATGACTGTATTTAAAGGAATATTCAGGAACAGGAAATACATATCCTTGTTATATATGCTGTACACACTGTATACACTATTACACCTAATTCATAATGTACATTTCTTTAAGTGATTTGTGTCATGATGTATATACGTTTTACCTATGAAAATTACTGAAAAAAATTTCATTTTGAGGGAAGAAAATGAAAGAAAAACATTCTTTGGACCCAGCAGGTTTCTGTCATTTTCATCTTCCTGGAGGATCTGTCCAGAGTCTTTGGGTGACGCCAAATGCAACTCCCCATTGGAAGTCTTGCCTCTTGCACCCCCCCATTTCCAATTTCTTGGTTTACTCCCTTGTTTTGATGGAGCATATCCTATAGCAGTTTTCTGAAAAGGGGGGGTCGAGGGATGTCCATTTAAGATTTTTTTTTATTTATGCATGCAAGAACTGGGGTACAGGCCGGAGGCGGTGGTGTGAGAGTGTTGTAGAACAACCCCAATACAAAACGGGGTGCCTGACTGTGGGTCCTCACCCGCGCGCTTAAAAGGACTTATCAATGCTCTACTGCAGGCACACGCGAAAGGTTCATAAAAGGTTTATTGACAAGGGAAGGGGAAATGAGGAAATGTACAGCTCTGGGACAAAAGTGGGAGACAAAGTTTTAAATGAGTCCTACCCGATCCGCCGATCAGGAATCCCAAAATGGGGCTCTGAGAGCTGGCCGCCAGCCAGGAGCTGTGTAGCCAGGAGGCGAGCGACAGCGAGCCAGCCCAAGCCCCACGTGTTTGGTTTTTATATCCAACCTGACTGCTTAACTCCACCCTCAGGTCCCAGCCACCCTCCCTTTGGTGGTGATGGGATTCATCTTTCCCAAGGTCTTGATGGCCTTGGTCTGGAGTGGGGGTGGGGTCCACAAAGCCTGCATGGGATTAGCTCAGGACATCCTTTCCCCCTAACAAGAGGACTCACCAGAGATAGAGTGGGGAGCAGAACAGGCAGACTGACTGAAATCCACTGCTGAGGGGAGCAGCGGGGAGACAGGAGAGGTCTGCTGCACCGTGTGGGTAGCTCCCTGGCTGGGGATCAAACTGGGTGCAGTGGCTGTGGATAGCGTCATAGGCTGCAGCTGAACCCCTAGCGCCACCAGGGAGGCCCTGTAGATTTTTAAATCTGCCATGCATGAAAATATCTTCATTCCACCCTCTTGCTTCATGGGTGGGTCCAGAATCTGCATGTTGAAATAATCCTTCGGCATTTTGAGATTTGCCTTTTTCCATTCTGACTGGTTATCTAGTATAGCTTTAAGAGCAACAGTAGATTAAAACAACAACAGCCGGTCTTTCAGCAGGACAGGAATGTGGGAGTGGTTTAGCTGGTTGGTTCAGCTGTGTTATTTACAGGACTGCTCCCGGCTCCTGATACCCTGAAGCCTTCCCTGGAGCTGAAGGATCAGCCTCCAAGAAGTTCACTCCTTGACAAGCAAACTGCACTGGCCTCACTCCCTCCCCCTCTGGGCCTCCCCACAGGGCCATTGAGTGTCCCCACAACATGGCCGCTGGCTGGCTCCCCCAGAGTGAGCGGGCAGAGAGAGCCAGGGGGGGAGGGTGGGGCTGTAGGATGGGGGCTGGTGGGGGACACAGTATCTTCTGTTCTGACCCAAGCAGGGTAACACCATTTCAGCCACACCTTTCCTAGCAGCCTCACTCCCTGCGGCAGACGACCACCCCCAGGGGCAGGGGCGTGAAGACCCCAAGGAGGGAGTCAGCGGACACTCTCGCCACCCCAGAGGTGACTTCTAGTTTCCAGTGTTCTCTGGAGGGTTCCAAAATAATTCTTTTCCTGCCCCTTGGCATGTGATTTCCTCTGTCTGCTCTCCACCACCCCCTCCCCCTTCCTGCTCAACCTGTAGAACCTCAACTTTCCCCCCCCCCCGTGTTTTTTGTTTTGTTTTTACCTTTTAAGAAAATGGGTCTATTAGGAAAAAGAGAAAGAAACAGAGAGCGGGCAGCCGAGCTGTGTGGAAATCCTGCTCTCCACAGTGTTTTGAAATCCCAGGCATGAAAGTCCACTTTCATTTATTGTTCCTAACCTGGGGAGACTTTCAATCAATAAAATCATCTTCAGTTCTAGGAAAGCTCTTTGCCTTATCTCGTTGATAATTTCTTGTCTTCTTTGTTATCTTTTCCGAAATTCCTGTTATTCAGTCTTTGACATAGGATTTAGGATTGTCTTATTTGACTAATCAGCTCTTGTATAAATTAAATTAAAAAAAAAACTGGGGTACAGGCAAGAGGTGCGGGAGGGTGAGAGCATTCACCAGAGACAGAGTGGGGAGCAGAACAGGCAGACTGACTGAAACACACTGCTGAGGGAGCAGCGGGGAGACAGGAGAGGTCTGCTGCGCGTGTGGGTAGCTCCCTGGCTGGGGATCGAACTCGTGCTGCAGTGGCTGCAGACAGCCTCACAGTGCTGTGCTCAACCACTTGTGCACTTATGGGGCTTTTGGGGTCTGGGTTTGGAGCGCGGGGTCCTTGGGGTCACTCTGGGAAATGTGTAACTGTTATAGGGCAGCCCTGATACAAAACGGGGTGCCTGACTGTGGGTCCTCCCCCATGCGCTTACAAGGACTTCTCACTCCTCCACTGCGGGCACACACGAAAGGTTCATAAAAGGTTTATTGACCAGGGAAGGGCAAGTGAGGAAATGGACAGCTCAGGGAGAAAAGCGGGAGACAAAGTCTTAAATGCATCCTACCCGACCCGCCGATCTGGAATCCCAAATGGCGCTGAGAGCTGGCCACCAGCCGGGAGCCGGGAAGCCAGGGGGCGAGCGAGAGCGCGAGCCCCCCAAGGCCCACGTGTTTGGTTTTTATACCAACCCTGGCTGCTGAACTCCACCCTCAGGTCCCAGCCACCTTCCCTTGGGTGGTGACGGGATTGTCTTTCCCAATGTCCTGATGGCTTTGGTCTGGGGTGGGGGTGGGGTCCACGAGGCCTGCATGGGATTAGCTCAGGACATCCTTCCCCCTAACATCACCCGAGCTCCCTTTTCAGCGACACGCGGCGAGTTTCCCGGGGGAGTTTCTCCACGAGACAGAGACGGTCGTGATATTTACAGAAAAGGTTTATGAGGGGAAGGGGCAGAAGAATGAAGGAGACTTGCATAGACACCAGCGGGCAGGAAGAGCTGCCCCGAAAGGGACAGGTTGGCTGCGAGGCCTGCGTGGTCGCAGGGGGGGCCTTGAGGAGAGCCGCCTCCGCTGAGGGAGGTCGGTGAGGAGAAGCCCCGGCAGGCAGAGGTCACGGGCAGGCAGGGGACGGCTGCCCTGGGGAGGGAGAGTTGGTGAAAAGAGGCGCCTGCATAGGCCCAGGTGGGCAGACGGAGTGCTGCCCCGTTGTGGGGGCTGCGTGAGGTGGTACCAGCTCCAGGAGGGGCTCATCTTTGTGGTGGATGGTCTGTGCCCCTGACCCTCCCCACAGCATCTGACAGGAGGTGTGGCGCCTCCTCCTCTGGGCGTGGATGCCTCAGGGTCTTGGTCTCTATAGCTGGGTTAATGGATTACACTGTCCCCTCCCGCCCCTACGGCCTGGGGGAGTCAGGCTCTTGACCTTGCGTCTCCCTTCCAGTTTTTTGGGTTTTTTGAGTCTTATCCTCCATCCCCACCAGGGAGGCCCTCGTTTTGCTTGTTTGTTCCTTTCTGGCGGTTGAGGTTTTCCCGCACGTTCTGCGCACATGTGGGGTGGGGACAACCCAGCTAACGGGTCTGTCAATTGACTTCCGCTGTGCGTGACGTGACGCCATTTGCTTGTGGAAACTTCAAAGTCAGTGCGTTGGGTCTTTCCTCCGGGCTGAGTGCACTTCCCAGGAGAGGGAGAAGCCCAGGTGGTTCCCAGATCCTAGGACCGGGGTCCGGGAGGACAGGGCTTTCCACACCCAGCACGTGGGCCCCTCTCAGCCAGGGAGGCCCGGGGCGCTCCACATCTCAGTCCTCGCTGCTCCGAGAGGAAGTCCCCATGCTCCTGCTGGCGCGGGGGTGGCCGATGAGCCACGGCTAATTTCTTGAATGCTTCCAGAAAATATTGGCGCCACCAGTTCCCAAGCTGATTCCTGACTCCCGATTCCACCGCCACTGGGGGATGCTCCCGCGGCTCTCCCGCAGGCCCGTCTGCTCACCCGGCTCGCCCGAATGCCCAGCCTCACGGACTGCGGCTCTTTTTTTTTTTTTAAGATCTATTTATTTATGATACAAGAGCTGGGGTGCAAGCGGGAGTGGGGTGAGATGGATCTATGCCTACAAGAGATGCGGGGGGGGGGTGCGAGAGAATCCACCAGAGACAGAGTGGGGAGCAGAACAGGCAGACTGACGAAATCCACTGCCGAGGGGAGCAGCGGGCGAGACAGGAGGGGTCTGCTGCGCCATGTGGGCAGCTCCCTGGCCGGCCCGGGGATCGAACTCATGCTGCAGAGGCTGCCCCTTGCACCACCAGGGGGGCCCCTGGTTTGTTTTTTAAAATTCCCCTTTTCATCTGAGCAGGTTGGGGTGGGGGTGGGGGCTGGAGCAGACACTGCTCTCCTCCCCTCCTCCTGGAAGCCGCCGCTGATCATGTCGCGGTGAGCGAGGGCAAGGCCGATGGGCAGCACCAGGTTTGCTCCCAGGGCTGCCTGTCACCCAGGTCAGGCTCGGGTTCCCGGAAAGTCCAGTCCTCTCTGCCTGGAAACGAGGGGCGGGGAGGCTGGGGGCGGGCCAGGCCTTGGACAAACAGATCAAAGGTGAGCCGGTGTGGAGCTCCAGATCAGTCCTGGCCTACGAGGGGCACATCATGAGGTGGGTGGGAGCCCCCTACACCTCCCCCGCAGGGGTGAGAGGTGGGAACAGGCCCCCAGGCCCTCACCTGCCCCCCTGCACGGCCCTCAGGCTGCTGATCCTCCTGGGCCTGCTGTGGGGCTTCTCGGCGGCACTCCAAGACCCCAAGTGGCCTGAGCCTGTGTTTGGGCGCCTGGCATCCCCCGGCTTTCCAGGGGAGTACCCCAACAACCAGGAGAAGCGCTGGGCCCTGACGGCACCCCCCGGCTACCGCCTGCGCCTGTACTTCACCCACTTCCACCTGGAGCCTTCCTACCGCTGCGAGTACGACTTTGTCAAGGTGCTGGTGGGCAGGGGCGGCGGGGCCTGCTCTCGGGCTGGGGGGGTCCCCAAGGCTCTGCCAGGGCCGAGGGACAGGAACCCCTGGGAGCAGAGTCTAGCCAAGGCCAGGCGGGCGGGCAGGCCTGGGGGGCGCCTTGTCTTCCCTCCCGTGACCCCCCCCCCCACAGCTGAGCGCAGGGACCAGGCTGCTGGCCACGCTGTGCGGGCGGGAGACCACGGACACGGAGCGCGCGCCGGGCAACGACAGCTTCTACTCCCCGGGCTCCAGCCTGGACGTCACCTTCCGCTCCGACTACTCCAACGAGAAGCCCTTCTCGGGCTTTGAGGCTTTCTACGCCGCCGAGGGTGAGCCGGGCCGGAGGGGGAGCCGGGCCGGAGGGGGAGCCGGGGCCTGAGTGGGCCGAGATAGGCCGCAGCTGTGGGGCAGGTCCCAGGCCGGCCCCTCCCCGGCCTCCCCCCACCGGGCCCAAGTCAGGGCAGAGCTGCGGGCGAGGCCGGGGCCAGCCTGAGTGGTCAGCAAGCCCGAGGGCCGCGGCCTGAGGCGAAGCCCCAGTGGGAGCGGCCGGTCCCGTCTGCCTGGTTTCTGGGGCCCGGGCCCGGGGCCTGCGCTGGGACCTTGACGAGCGGCTCAACCTCCCCTGCTCCTGGGGGGCCACAGCCAGGCTCGGGGGCCCGGCCCCGGGTCCAGGTGCCCGGCGGCCCGCAGGCCCGGGAGCTGAAGTGGGTTTGAGAGGAGGCGCCGCGGGGAGGCGGCCCAGCCCCGCGGGGCCAGGCGGGAGCCCCGGGCCGCAGCTGCCCCGCTCACGGCCCGCCGCCCCCAGACGTGGACGAGTGTCTGCAGCCCCCCGGGGGGACGCCGCCCTGCGACCACCACTGCCACAACCACCTGGGCGGCTTCTACTGCTCCTGCCGCGCGGGCTACGCGCTGCAGCGGGACCGGCGCACCTGCTCAGGTGAGGGCGCGCCCGGCCCTGGCCCGCGGCTCCAGCGGCTCTGCCCAGGGGCTGCGGGGGCCGCCGGCCTCGGGGTGCTGGGCCGGTACTGGCTGCCCCTTCTCTGAACTGCCACCGCCTCCTCCAGCGGCACCCCCCCGCCCCCCTCAGCCCCCCCAGTTCATCCACTTACTACTCCCTCCCCCACCCCTGTGTCTGGGCTCAGGGGCCTGCGGCCTCCTCCCTCCTTCCCGGGGCTGCGGGGGTGGGGGGGGAACTGGACCCGTCTCCCCAAAACTTTCCAACATTCCGAGTGCAGGCGGGGCACACTCAGTCACCCGTTCCCAGTGAGGCCACCCCGCTGGCCAACTTTCCTGGACACCCCCGCTTCCCATCACCCCATCCTGCCGGCACCTGGACGGGCAACCCGCGGGTGCTGGGGTAGACGTGGGCAGCCCCAGCCAACCCCCCTGCCGGCCCTGCCTCCTCACCCCACACCCTGCCTGTGTCTCCCCACCCCTGTCCGTCTCTGTCTCTGTTCTCTTTCAGAGGAGCACCCCTAACCTGCCCTCCCGGGGGGGCTGCCCAGCAGGTGGAAGCCACAGAGCCGCTGCCCCCCCTCCCACCTGGACCCAACAATAAACTGGCTCCACCCCACCTGCTGCTGCTTCTCTCTGGGAGGGCGGGAAGGGTGGGGGGCCCGCGCCTCCCCTCCCCTGCCCTCCACGGCCGGGCCTGCCCGGCTCCTGCTGGGGCTCTGGCCTCTCTCGAGGCCCCACATGCCCCAGGTCCCCAGGGGCCGAGGCAGAGCATCCTTGGCCCACCCTCAGTTCAGAGGGTCCCCTGGGCCCCTCCCCCAGCGCAGAGCAGGGGGCCCTGGGCTGTGTGCCGGCCCCTCAGGGCCGGCTCCTTCCCTTGCTCCCCGGGGAGCTGCTGCGGGGAAGGAAGGTGAAGGCAGCGCAGGGACCCTCCCTTCCCAGACTCCTCCAGCTCCGAGGCCCGCCCCCACCCCATGGCCTGGGGGGCGGGCGGGACCCCCATGGGTGATGCAGACGTTCCTGGGAAGCGGAAGCTGCTGTTCCGGGCAGGACGAGGGCGCCGTGTGTGAACAGCATCCACCTGCCTGGCCTCTGCTGCCAGGCGGCGCCCCGGGAGGCCCGGGCTGCGGGGGGGAGCCCCACAGCCTATGAACTTGGCAGTTGCCGGGATGGGGGCAGTGAGAGGCCGTCAGCTCAAGGAGATCCCTCGTTCCTCACCTAAATTCCTGGGGTACAAAGAGCACCCCTTTCCAGGGTCCTCGTGCTTGGCAGAGTCTAATCGTTCTCACTACTTCCACCCCAGGCTTGTGACTCTGGCCCAGGACTCCCCCATCTGGGAGCCTCAGCTTAGGGCCCCAGTCTCTCTGGGGGGGTACACATGGGGGGCCCGCAAGTGCTGCCTGTTGCAGTTACAGCCAGAAGCCAGAGTCCCTTCTCTAGCTGTCCCACAGCCAGTGTGTGTGTGTGGGGGGTCTGGTCTCTAGAGGTGCCTGTGGGCTCACTCCCTGCCCCCCCCTTCCCAGCCCTGTGCTCTGGCCAGGTCTTCACTGGCAGGTCTGGGGTGCTCAGCAGCCCCGAATACCCACGGCCGTACCCCAAGCTCTCCCGCTGCACCTACAGCATCCGCCTGGAGGAGGGCTTCAGCATCACCCTGGACTTCGTGGAGTCCTTTGATGTGGAGGCGCACCCCGACACCCAGTGCCCCTACGACTCCCTCAAGGTCCGTCTTGGGGGCCCTGCCTCTCCTGGCCCCCGCAGGTCCTGGGGTGACAGGGGATACTCTGCTTTCAGATCCAAACAGACAAAGAGGAATGGGGCCCGTTGTGCGGGAACACGCTGCCGCGCAGGATCGAGACCAAGAGCCACGCCGTGACTGTCACCTTCGTCACCGACGACTCGGGGGACCACACGGGCTGGAGGATCCGCTACAGCAGCACAGGTGGGAGGTGGCCCCGGTCCCGCGGGGAGCCGAGCCTTGTCCCCCCAGCGGTGGCGGCAGGACAGTCTCTGTAGGGGGACACGCTTTCTGGGCCAGGCCTGGGGGGCCAGGGAGGGACCGGGTGAGGCGAGCGGAGCGACGCACGCGTTTGCTTCTTGAGGTTCATGCTGCACGGGCGCTTCCTAAGGAAACGAAGCCGGAGAGAGCTGGGTGCTTTCCTGCGGGCGTTTTCTTTTTTTTTTTTTTTTTTTTTAAAAAGATTTCTTTATTTTTGCATACAAGAACTGGGGTGTGGACCAGAGGTGCAGGGGGTGAGAGGAGTCCCCAGAGACAGAGTGGGGAGCAGAACAGGCAGACTGACTGAAATCCACTGCCGAGGGGAGCAGCGGGGAGACAGGAGGGGTCTGCCATGCCATGTGGGCAGCTCCCTGGCTGGGGTTTGAGCTGGTGCTGCAGTGGCTGCGGACAGCTTCATAGTGCTGAGACTTTTTTTTTTAAAGATTTATTTACTTCTGCCTACGAGAGGTGCGGGGGGTGAGAGGACTCCCCAGAGCCAGAGCGGGGAGCAGAACAGGCAGACTGACCGAAGTACACCGCTGAGGGGAGCAGCGGGCGGCAGGAGAGGTCTGCGCGCCATGTGGGTAGTTCCCAAATGGCTGGCTGGGAATTGAACTCGAGCTCGTGGCTGCAGAGAGCTGCACAGGGCTGAGACTTAACCCTTGCCCCACCGGGGAGGCCCTGTGGCTTCTGGTCCTGAGCACTTAGCTGAGGCCGGGCCTTCATCCTCCCACCCCGAGGGTGCAGCCCCTCCTCACCCCTCTCGGCCGGGCAGCAGCTGGGGGTCCAGCCCTGCAGTGGAAGCCGCCCTGCTCTTCCTCCCCTTCTGGCTGTCAGCAGCGCTGGAAGCTTCCCCGCAGGGAGGAGGCCTCCACGGGGGACTGTCCCACCCGATGTGTGTCTGTCCTGACCTGCCGTGGCCCAAGCCGGGCCACAGTGCCCGATCCGTACACGGAGCCACGCAGAGTTTAGTGTGGCGCTCGGTTTTCAGTCTACGGCCCCTGCTCCCCGGGGTGTCCCTTCCACCCCCGGTCTCGCTGATAAGCACCTCGGGTTGCTGCATCCAGACCCAGCTCACCCGGCTCTTCCCCTCCCGCAGCTCGGCCCTGCCCTGATCCCGTGGCGCCACCGCACGGCCGCATCTCGCCGGTGCAGGCCGCCTACGTGCTGCGGGACCGCGTCTCCGTGGCCTGCGAGCCGGGCTACGAGCTGCTGCAGGTGAGGCGCGCCCGGGCGGGGTGGACACGGGCAGGTTTAGATCCGCGCGTGGGAGAGGAGGGGGAAATGGCTGTCGTCAGCAGGCAGCAAAGAACTAAGCGTGCTGAGAAGAGGGGCCACGGGGAGTGTTCATGCTTAGGAAGCCTGCTGCCCTCCGCGCCCAGAGCTGGCTCTGCAAGCTGCGGGTGCAATAAGCCCCTTGCCCGCCCCGCCTAGGGCCGCGGCCGTCCACGTGGCTGCGACCAGGCGAGGCCCACGTCGCAGTCCTCGCTCCGCGGCTCTGATGGCCCCAGAGGCCGTTCCCCGGGCCCGGCAAAGCCTTTGCAGGAAACGACTCCTGGGCCCGCACAGAAGGAAAGGGCGCTGGAAACAGGACATTCTGCAAAGTTGTAAATAGTGGCCGCTGCTAAGGGCGTGGGGGATAATTTTAAAAAATGCTTAGTGCGTTGCTTTAGAGGCACAGGTAGATGAACACATCTCCTTTGTGTTCTTTAAAATTGTCACCGAATCCCAGTGGCAGAAAGTAATAACACTGAGATGATCAGCTCTGCAGCCCGGTCCTGCGAGGGGCGGGACCGAGAGGGAAAAAAGTGACACTTTCTCCACCTTGCAGACTTCTCGGGAAGGGGCGGGAGCTCTTGCCACAGCGCCTCGCACTCCAAACCTGCTGTTTCTAGTGGCTACAGGGCAGAGAAATCCAGACACATCTGTTCTGTATCTGACCAAGCTGACACCCCTTTTGCCCCCCAAACTTTTTTTTAAAGATTTATTTATGCATGTGAGAACTGGGGTACAGGCCAGAGGTTCAGGGGTGAGAGGAGTCCGCAGAGAGAGTGGGGAACAGAACAGGCAGACTGATGAAATACATTGCTGAGGGGAGCAGCGGGGAGACAGGAGAGGTCTGCTGCGCCATGTGGGTTGCTCCCTGGCCGGCCAGGGATTGAACTCGTGCTGCAGAGGCTGCGCTTTGCTTCATAGTGTGGTGCTTGACCCCTTGCGCCACCAGGGAGGCCCCTGCCCCCCAAACTTTAACTGGCACCCTGGGCCACTTATAGAGAGGGATGGGGGCCAGGGTGGCACCCACAGGGACTGGTGAGACTGGATTAAAGTGGGGAGCAAAGAACGCACCCAGAGTGGCTGGGAAGGCACTCGGCCCCCCTGAGACGCCAGTGTGTGTTGAGGTGAGCAGACGTGACGTGACCAGCAGGTGGTCACGTGGGTGACCTTGGGAGCCTGAGGAACTACTGTGGAGCAGTTTTGGGGAGTGACTTTCTGGTGCAAACAGGGAGATTAATCGTCTCCTTCCTCTCTAGGGTCAGTTGCCCCTGAAATCATTTGTGGCCGTCTGCCGGAAAGATGGATCTTGGGACCAGCCGATGCCAGAGTGCAGCAGTACGCTTGCGCCACCAGCCCCTTCGCTGCCTCTGCAGCTGCCGCTGCCTCTGTCGCTTCTTCTGATCTCTTTTCCATGATTTATCAGGGCTTGACACAAAACCGCTTTTCTTCCCCAGCCTCTCACCCCACTTGTTTTTTATATTTATTTATGCATACAAGAGCTGGGGTGTAGGCCAGAGGTGCGAGGTGAGAAGAGTCCCCAGAGACAGAGCGGGGAGCAGAACAGGTGAATCCACTGAAATCCACTGCTGAGGGGAGCAGCGGGGAGACAGGAGGGGTCTGCCGCGCCATGGGGGTAGCTCCCTGGCCGGCAGGGGATGGAACTCAGGCCGCAGTGGCCGGTGATAGCTTGACCCTGTGCCACCAGGGAGGCCCTCACCCCACTCCTAAAGGGGCTAAAATGGAACCAATGTACTAGGAAAGGTATTTGCTTTAGAAAAGTGATCTTTAAAAGCACTGTTCTAAGTATGAAAACACCCATGAAGCACAGGGAACAGGGGCGCCCGAGTGCGCTTCCTCCCGCACGTCCGGCCGGGAGTAACAGGGCCACGCGTCCCGTTAGTGCCCGCGCGACGTCTGCCGTCACTGGCCCTGTTCCACTTTTTCACTCTGAGCACTGCTCTAGTGAACAGCCCTGGATGTGTATCCTGCGCACGGATTTCTGCAGAATTCCTAGGGAATTTTCATGTCAAAAAATTGTATTCCCGCTAACCAGACTGCCGTGTTAGTTTCAACACCAGTAAGAGCTGAAGGGTGCACTGGAGTCAGGTCTGGGTCTCCACCCCAATTTTGTCATTTTTACGGGGTTCCTCTATAGAATGGCGGGATGCCATCGGGGCAGTGAGCATCAGCGTAGCAGAGCACTTGGCCCAGAGCCAGGCGCAGCTACTGACTTCCAGGCCTTACCCACCGCCATCGGCACCACCGGCCACCCAGACGTCCCGAGGCCAGAACCGTGACGTGACGACTAAGTGGTTGCTTCTCACTAGTAACGTGCCCGCAAGTGTGCACTCCAGGTCACATTCACGGTATTACGGCTGCCGGGTCTCGTGACAAGGACCCAGCCCCCGCCTTTGTGCCGCTCCCGCCTTTAAGGCCGGCTGACCGCACACTCGGTACCGCTTCACGAGGAAACCGGGTGGTGTGGGCGCGGCGGGCCGGGCCAGACTTCTCCGTTTGGCTCCAGGACCCCATGTCTGAGGGAGGGTGCGATGAAGTCGTTTCAAAGCCCCCTCCTTCAGCCAAGACATCACACCTGTCTCCCCCAGAAACGTGCCCTCCACCTAGCCCTTCAGCCAGAAGCAGGCTCGGGAAGGACGCTTTGCCGTTTTGCCGTCACCCCGGCGGGCCTCCTGCCCCTGTCTCCTCTCCCAGGAGCCTGTCTTCAAAGTACACGCTGACTCCCGCCTCCCATGTTTGCCAGTTGTCGACTGCGGCCCTCCCGAGGACCTGCCCAGCGGCCGCGTGGAGTACGTCACGGGCCCCGAGGTGACCACGTACCGGGCCGCGATCCAGTACCGCTGCAACGAGACCTTCTACGCCATGCGCGCCGGCGACGGTGAGCGAGCAGCGTGCCCCGGGGCGCGGCGGCCACTCGGGGACCTCGGCCCTCGCGATCCGAGGATGAGCTTTAAGCAACATTTTTGGCTCAGGCTAGACAGCAGATTAAAAGGCACTTCTCCCACCTGCTAAGTGAAATATTGCAGCTGAAGTGACTTTAATGTCAATTTGCAAGAATCTGAAAACAGATCTTATCTAGTAAATGACTACTACAAACACACAATATATTCCAAATGGTTTAATTTAACAAGTCAAAACCTTATCATTAAGCACTTGAGATCTTGATACATATTCAAGTTACACATCTAAAAGGTTTCCACTTTGCAAGCAAACATGGTAATGCAGAGACCTCCTGTTTATGAAATCATGTAAAATGGTTAGTTCAGACACCTATTTCCCACGGAAGCTCGAGAATCAACATTTTTCAAGGGGGGTCTTCGGCGGATGACAAGCCCCTCATGCATACAGTTAAACATTTTTGCTTTTCCAATGATTTGCAGGTAAATACGTGTGTGCGGCTGATGGATTCTGGACGAGCTCCAAAGGAGAAAAATCACTCCCCGCCTGCGAGCCTGGTAATGGACCCATTCATACTAGAGATTGGTAATTGATGGAAAGTAAAAGTGGGCAGGAGACAATGAGGAGCTTTAGCTGCGCTAGGCACAAATGTCCCGGCGGCACGGGGCTCTCGCGCCAAGTGATGCTCGGCAGGTACTATGTTCTCATCACCCCTTTCCGCGCGCAGACTTGCTAGGTGCTGACTGCATCAGTCACTGGGTTATTTCTGACCTTCCAACGAGGCAAACATAAAAAACTAAATGATTTTTTAAATTATCTTGAGCCATTTGTACATTTATAAACATGAGCTCCTCTACCGAGGTCCTCCCCTTCTCCGTGAAAATGCTATTAAAACCCGGAGCTAATAACTTCATTATTTCCCTAAGCAATTGTTGTCAATGACATCTGGTTTTTAAACATTAATGCAGTTTGCCTTTTAATAGTACTTAAAATTTTTTTAAGCAGAATTGGCTCGCTCCGAAGATAGACTTGAGTAGCGCTATTGAAAAAAAAAGTCAGAAAGGGAGTAATGTGTTCATTACCCTTGTGTTGTTTGGCTTAATTTGCTTTTAACCTGTACTTTCGCTGACACAACATTCGTACACTAATGCCCGCGTCCGCCACAAGACGCATCTGCCCCGTAGAGGGAGCAGCGGACAGTCACACGCAGCTGGGGAGGGTCACGAGCCCGAGGAGTTTCTGAACTGGAAGGGCCCGGGCTCCTAAGCGCCACGTTCTCATCTTTAAAACGTAACTGTTCAGCCCTGAAGGTACTGGGCCAGTCCTGTGGCAGCGACCTTAGCTTCTGCTCACAGACCTGCACGTAACGCCCCTGTACACGGAGGACAGAGGTCACGGAAAGGCTGCCCCTCGCCCAGTGCCCAGCCCAGGCGAGTCCTCCTGGCCTTAGGTACCCCCGTCGTGGAAAGCCACATTGTGGAAAGCCACGTCGTGTAGGGCAACAGTGGTTTCTAGAAGTGAACGCCCCCTCACGGCACCCCGAGGAGCTAAGAAATGCCACGAGGCCTCCCCAGGTGTCTGCTCCGCACGGCCTCCCGCGGTCTCGCTAGGGGACACGCGCCGACCCCCGGGGTGCGCGATGCGGAGCCACCACCGCGCAGGGTTCTGCAAAGGCTCTATCTGCTCCCCCCAGTGTGCGGCCTGTCAGCCCGCGCTACCGGAGGCCGCATCTACGGAGGCCAAGCCGCCAAGCCCGGCGACTTCCCGTGGCAAGTCCTGCTGGCCGGCGAGGGCATAGCCGCGGGCGCGCTCCTGTCCGACAAGTGGGTGCTGACGGCCGCGCACGCCGTCTACGAGAAGAGAGAGGACGCCCCCGCCCTCGACATCAGAATGGGGACCCTGAACAGACGGTCGCGCCACTACACCCAGGCCCGGGCCGAGGCCGTCTTCATACACGAAGGCTACGCGCACGGCGCCGGCTTCGACCACGACATTGCGCTGATCAAGCTCAAGGACAAGGTCGCCGTCAACGGCAACGTCCGGCCAATCTGCTTGCCAGGGAGCGCGGCCGAGGCCTTCATGAGGCCCGACGCCATCGGCACCGCCTCTGGGTGGGGAGTCACCCAAAGGGGCTTCCCCGCCCTCAGCCTCATGTTCGTGGACGTGCCGGTCGTGGACCACCAGCGGTGCAGGGAGGCCTACGAGCGGCAGCGCCACCCCGGGGGCAGGGTGACGGCCAACATGCTGTGCGCCGGCCTGGAGGGCGGGGGCAGGGACAGCTGCCGCGGGGACAGCGGCGGGGCGCTGGTGTTCCTGGACAACGAGACAGAGAGGTGGTTCGTGGGGGGGATAGTGTCCTGGGGCGCCATCCACTGCGGGGCAGCAGGTCAGTACGGGGTCTACACCAAAGTCATGAACTACATTCCCTGGATCGAGAACATCATTCATAATTTTTAATCGGGGTCTTCAGTCAGCACGTCCTTCCCTAGCTTAAGAAACACCTGCACGCGAGCTCAGCAGCAGCGACACCCCAGAAGCATGAGCACGCCGGCCGCTGTTCCCCCCACAGCCGAAAGCACACGGCAGGCGAGACCGCCGTCACAGGCCCTTTCGGGCTGACAGGTTCCCCCCAGCCCTCCTCCCGGGAGGCCTTCGCAGATACAGACTCGCGCTGCTTCCCTTCATGTCCCCAGGAAGTCCTGGCGTCTTTGGCTGGTGGGCCGCTGCCTTTCTGTACCTGCCTGTTCAACTGAACTGTTTTCAGCTTGCTCTCACTGACCCCTGAGAGAGCTTCACACGGCAACAGCAGCACTGGTGCTGGAATAACCCTGAATATTTGGGGGGGTAAATAAGCTGGAAACATGGATACTTGAGCCTTGGTAACGACAGGTTTCCATGTTACAAATCGGGATCACGGAGGGTGAGGTAATTTTTCTCTACTCAAAGTGGCAGAGAGAACACGGAGTAGCGTGATTCACATCGGCAGAACACTACACATTTCTAAAGGAAAATATGCAACTCGTTTCAAAAGTCTTTTAGAAGCACGCATGGTACGCACAGTCTTTAGCTTAGTTAATCCCAATTCTAAGAGTCCAGCTTAGCTGCGAGGAAGTTCCCAGCGCTGGGAAGTGACCCCAGCAGTCAACAAATTCAGAAGATGGTGGACTGGAGGGTGTCACTCCCATCCCATGAAATGTGACATCAGAAGTGGTGACATTATAAATACTTGGCATTTCCTTCTCCTCCTTACAACGAACATGATACGCCTGGGCACACTGAGCAACAGATCACAGACCACACAACAGCCGGCTATGGTATGGGAAGCTGGATACACAATTCTGGAATCTCCTCGGCATCACTCTCCTAGTGCTCAACACCACAAACTACCCCAATCACCAGCACACTCTTCTGAAGTAGAGAACATCCTTTCCTGAGGACAAAACTTCAGCTGACTTTAATCTTACTTCATTTTAGTTGGTTACTCGTCCCTTAAACACGGTAGTAGCTAACATTTCACCACATTTTTCGTTCTAGTCAAATAGTTACCATTATATGTAAAAATTCATAGTGAGGTTGGGCCTAATTTCTCTTGAACATACAAACGACAACTTCCTGAGAGACACTGTTTAAAACTAACTTTCCAGTATTTCTGTCACATACGAAAAAGCATTATTTTCCAGTAAGACTCCAGACACTAAACTGTGGTGGCAACAAAAAATTTTATTCAATTGGTTCAAAATTTTTTTTTAGAATGCATTAAGATGACCAAATAAGACTTTAAAACAAGTATTTGCCAAATAGTTTACTTCTAAACTTCAAATTTTTTTTTTTTTAGGGTAAAATTAGATACCCACAGCGGTGTAGTACCATAAACATGTTACTAGGAGGCTACTCAACATTGAAAGCCTTCTATGACCAATAACTAAATTTACACAAGTGTAAAAAGGGATTAAAACCATGCCATCGACAAGTTAACTTACCCTTGGGTTCCTTGAAGGCTTGTCAGTTTAGTCTTTGGAGGTCCCCGAATACCATTTTAAGTGTTACCATGTTACTGCTGCTGAGTAATAGTGCAAGTGCTAAAATGCAAAATTCAGATGGTACAGGGTTTGGAAATCATGCAATTTAGATGCAATAAAAAATTAAAACAACGCAAGATCCTTTTACAGAGGAAAGTGAGTAATGAGACAGGGTGGCGATCACACGTCTAAAGGAGACTTCATTTATAAATGTTTAAAACAGGTAACTTGCAAAACAAACCTATTTATCATAATCTACTTAGGTAAGGGCATTAGGTAAACTATCAACACAAAAACTGTTACATTCTTCCACTTAGAAAATGAGCTCCACTCAGTTACATAAAAGCACAACAGAGTCAGCATTATTGCTATTACATAGTTAACAGCGCATGGTGAGAGTCTAATCTGAGTTTTGTAAACGACTTGCGACATTCCTATATCCCCACCTTGGAGGACAAGGCCCGTTTCACTTAACACGTCCACAGACAGACAACCCACCCTGCGAGTTCTTAAAGCTCTCAGGCTTCTTAATGGATTTCAGGCACAAGATAAATTTGTGGTTTCTTCTACTTTATCCCTATTGCAATTAATTCCACTTTTCAAATCCCAACTAAAAAGGCGCAGACAGTCCCTTTTCAATTGATATGCTTTGCTACAAAGCATTTGAAAGTAATTAACATTGTTTTGCCCACTCCCTCAAATAATATCTTTAGAAGGCATGACTTCCCCATGGAGATTTACACAGGCCATGGTAACAGAACATCACCTAAATGCACAGAGGCACTAAGAAAAGGCTGGAGGGTACTGCTTACCATTTTAGGTGCGGTCACCCAGACTTATTAAAAACTAGATTAAAAAAAAAATTTTTCACTTTGGACAATGCAAGAACAAATAGCAATTAAGTCTGGGTATCAGGTGTCAATGCATGACAGGTGATGAATCCATTTGACTTGAGACAACTTTTCAAATAAGTTTATTTGAAGCAAAATAAACTACTGCCAAGAAACTTTATGAAAGTTCCATCTCAAAAGGGTCAAAAAAGGGGAATTAACTGCTATGAATTCTTTGCATTCAGGGCTGCAAAACAAAGACACATATTATTTAAATCAGTTTTATTTAAGAATTTCCAACATTGACAACTCTTATAAAAAGCATCCAAGCACAGGACACAGAACTGCAGCAAACAGCATTCTTATGGGAGCTAACAGACATTAGAACTTCCACCCTTCTTTGAGACACCCTGAGCTCACTGGTGAACTCTGCTTCCAAGTACTCCTGCAAAGCACACCACAAGCTCAGTCCATGTTCTCAACCCATCAGCTTCAGTTCACATTACCACACTTACATATCAGTAACAGAAGAGAACACACACCATACAGCATTCACAGCAGTTGACAAAAGGGTAAGGGAAGTACAAGTATCGTTTCACTTAACACATTCAGCTAACGTGGGTTATCTAAGAACAAAACTCACTTAATGTCTTCCAACAGATGTGGATGTCCTTTGAATGCAAAAAACATTCGTACATTATTTGCTATCAATGCTCTCTGCACACTCTCTCACCAAAGCCACAGGATTGAGAGACACATCTCGCCAAGTTAAAAAATATCCATTATGCACCACCAAGTCTCTGCACGCGCTCTCTCCTTTTCTCGCTCATACTAGCCTTTCATGCCTCGGCACCACCATCAATCCCACACAAGGTTTCAAAAGTTCAAACAGCCTTCTGGTTCCATATCACAGCCTTGCGTTCACAGCGTTGATACGACTCCATGAAATAAAGAGTAGCGGATAAAAATGGGACACCCACCGTCAAAGACGCAGCGTGATGACGAATTCTTGAATGAGAAAGCATGTAGACAGAAGTATTCCTATGGCAGAATATTTACAGCACTACTTTCAATGAAGTGCTTCTTCCATAAACATTTGAAATGAGATGAACTGCAGAGATTAAATGAAGGCTTCATATTGTACTTTTGTATATGAAGGGAGACAAGTGTTAAAAAACAAAACAAAACAAAAAAAACAAACAAAGAACCGAATATTGTGACACCATGATCTCCAAAAGGGAGATTTTCCTAAGGAAAAAATCCAGATGGTGGGGGTTCAAATTAAAACAAGGAGAAAATGTAGTTCTAACCAATGGTTTCCATTTTGAACATGCAAAGAATTCACTTGACAAGTCCAGGGATAAAATATTACAGGAGAAACCTTTTGATAGCAATTGTAGTGTGTTGGTTTACCCATCAGGCAAACAGCAGTTCACTTTCACTCAGTATTTCAACCCTTTATGTAACAAAACTTATAAAATTCCTTTAACTCTTCCTCTTTTTCTAAAGAAAATGTCAAAAATACTGCTGAATATACTTCACACTGAACAAACCAATTTTGAAAATCCTTAGTATATATTTTACAATATACTTACCATGAGTTTAGAAAAATTTGAATTCCCACCAGTCTATACCAGCCACACCCCACTGTCTACATTCCCCAGCCAGAAGACTTAGAATCCATGCTTGAGCCAAAGCCACCATTGAAACCACTGCCCGACCCTGCATTTGATGCTGATCCCCAACCTATTGCTGCACCTGAATTAGAGCCACTGTAAGAGTTATTTCCAGACCCAAAGGCCTGGTTTGGTTCCCTCTGCATGTTGCCTTGGCTTTGGTTATTACCTGATGGGCCCGACTGGTTCTGCTGACTGGCTAACATGCCCATCATGCCCCAGCTGCTCTGTAGCGCTGCCTGCGCTGCAGCCATCATCGCTGGATTAATGCTGAAAGCGCCAAAGTTCATCCCTCCACCCATATTACTTCCTTGGTTGTTTCCCAAGCCAGCTCCGCCCCCTCTACTGTTACCAAACCCACCCTGATTCCCAAAGCCACCTGGATTACCACCAAATCTTCCACTTCTTTCTAACTGTCTATTGCTATTGTGCTTAGGTTCAGCATTGGATATATGTACGCTGATTCCTTTAATGATCAAGTCCTCTCCACAAAGAGACTGGGCAACCTATAAGAAATAAGGGATGTAAATAGAGGAGATTAAACAACTGACTCATACACCAAAGCAGCAATAAAACTTAGATTTCATGCCATTCTCTAAGCTGGAGGAAAAATAAGCAACAATGCTAATTGCATGTAAACCTGTAACATAGCCTTAGCTTCAGCAATGATAGCAAGATCTTTCAGTTTCATTTTCAAAAGATATACTCCCAGTTATGTGAAATGCAGATAAGTATCTAAAGGCTGTATCACAAATATCTACATCCGTATACCTCCCAGTTTATAAGGTCAAAAAGCTTAGCTAAGGATGGCATCAGCTGAATGGGGAAAGTTCAAGAGAAATTACCTAATTAACTGGGACAAAATTATTAAAGAGAAAAATACCTGATCATCTGCAAATGTAACAAAGGCAAAAGCCCTGAATGGTTTGGGAATGAAGACATCTACCACTTCTCCGTACTGGCAAAAGAACTGCCGCAACTCGTCAGCAGTCATGTCCTCTGTACAACGACCAACAAATACTTTTCTGCTTCTCAGAGGCTCATCTGGGCTTTGCTGAGCAAATCAAAAGGAAGGAAGAACGTCAGAAATATTTTATGAGCAATGAAAAGAGCATTATGGTAAAGGATAGAACAAAACCTATCTGCCTTTTATATCAAGAGTCAAAAAAGTAGGTACATTCTTATTGATTTATCTTGCATTAGCACTTCTCTTACAGGCCTTTGATGAATAAAATTTTAAAATTTCAAGTTCATGAGAGTATATCTGGACTCAGGAAAATCAACGACTGACAAATGTCCTGGCAAAGACAGTAACATTCCCGACACACGAGGCTTGTTTACGTTTGCTTCGAACAAGTGAGGCCGTGGTAACAAGAGCAATGCATTCTGACAGACTTTGCTTTACATGTGACTAAGAAATTGTTAACTTGCTAGACACAGCAAGAGGAAGAATAAACCGAATAAAGTTTTACTTTGCAGAGGTAATAAACTAAAAATCTCCAACAAACAAAGCATTCCACGTGCATTATGATCCTAAGGTTCTTAGAACACACCCGCAACTATCTTTCCCAAGTATATTTAATGTTTCACTTTATGGCACCTTCTAAGGAGGCTGTCTGCAAAAGTCACGAAAGCTAAGTACCTTGGAATTTGGAAGCTTACAGTCGCACCACCGCCCGTCTATCATATGCCGCTGCGACATGACTTTCACCTGGGTGTCATATTCCGTAAAACGAACAAAGCCAAACCCCTTTGAATGACCAGTTTTAATATCTTTCTTCACCTAGAAAAGATCATTTAAATTTACCAAAACCACACACAATCGAATCAGAGTTTGTCAATGTGAATGGTTTCAAGTGGAGGCAACAGCTTAATTAAAACTTAACCAAGTCATTTTTGAGGTAAAAGCAAAAGCAGGGTTAATGTTGAGTGATGATCAGGCCATCCAGTAAAACTCACGTGACAGAATTTTAACAAAGTATTTTAGAATGAAGGCAAAGATAAGCTAGAGCTCATGTTTACGAATACAATGGGAAATGCTCCCATTAGTATGTTACAAAGAAAAAACCTAATGTGTCACCACAATATCAAAGGCAAAAATACACAGCACGTGCATAAAGCAAAACAGTAGAAGCCAAATTTCTTTTCAGCACCCTGTGTATCCATGTCTGCTCAACATACAGGGGAATGTCATCGAAACAAATTCTAGGTGCTTCTTCACAGGTAAAAGTGAAATCAAAGTTTACCTGAACCATAAGAACTTCTCCAAAGGTGCTGAAATATTCTTTCAGATCCTGTTCAGTTGTTTTCCATGGAAGACCCAATACTATTAAATCAGATGTTTTCTGTACTGCTCTTTTCACTTTCACTGCTGATGAAGCATCTGTTTCATCCATTTTTCTTTTATTATCTAAACAAATGAGCAGAAATCTTTTAAAACTCTTCATTTAACGCTTCTTAAAACACACCATACCTATCAATCAACAGAAATGAGGAGCAAAAAGATTCGGAGATCAATAAGAAATTGAAAACTTTTTGAGAAGAGCAACGCTAGCTGTCGAGGACAGAACAGGGACTGAATAAACTGAAGTGCTTATCCAGCAAGAATCCAGGATCCCCACTCTCATTTTATGACAACTATGTTCTCCCCCCTTTCAAAAGACATCATCAAAACAAAATCCTACCTCACTTTGACTTTAAGATAAAGTAGAAAAAAAATGTCAAAAAACTGTTGGTACTATTTGTGTGTCTATTAAACATTTAATTAACATCTACAAATTAATGTATAATACCATAAAGTTGGCAATTTTTTTTTAAATTTATGCATACAAGAAATGGGGTATAGGCCAGAAGTGTGGTGGTGGTACTCAACAGAGTGGGAGGACTCAACAGAGAGTGGGGAGCAGAATAGGCTGATCTACTGAAATACACTGCTGAGGGGAGCAGCAGGCGAGACAGGAGAGGTCTGCTGCACCATGTGGATTGCACCCTGGCTGGCCAGGCATGGAACTCGTGTTGCAGAGGCTGCGGACAGCTTCATAGTGCTGTGCTTAACCCCCTGCGCCACCAGGGAGGCCCCAAGGTTGGCAATTTTTATCTACAGATGAGGATTTAAGGGTGATTTCAAATTCCCCATTTTCCCCTGAACTTTCAACAATAAATGCCTGTTAATTTAAAAAAAAAAAAAATCCCAGGCTATTTTTAAAAACATAAAGTTGAGGGCCTCCCCTGGTGGCGCAGTGGTTGAGCGCTGGGCTGCGAGGCTGTCTGAAGCCTCTGCAGCGCCGGTTCGTTCCTCAGCCACCGGCAAGGGTCCCACAAAAAGAAAAAAAAAAAAAAAAAAATGAGAGAGAGGAACTAAATGACAATACTTTTATTTTATTTTAAAGCAGTTTGGGTTCACAGCAAAACTGAGGAAAGTAGCGGTTTCCCAAATACTCTCTGCCCCTCAACGCACAGACCACCCCCCCATTATCTTATTTCCCAGCGGGTTGTTACATGTGTCACAACCTACATCCACATCATGATCTAAATGACATTTTAAATCTGAGTAGTTTTTAACCCACAACCAGTTAACAACATACTAAAAAGACCCTGAACTGAAGTTAATAAAACTTACCATAAAAGTACGAGAGTTGTACCATGCCAGCACACATCCCTACTGGGAAACCTCTCAACCTTCACATTTCCCTCTCCTAGGTTTAGAACTTCAATGCCAGAGGAGTAAGACCAGCGCACAAAGTTGTAAGCAGGACTGCACTAATTCAAGATCTGATGATCATTTATGGGGAAAAAGTGTCAGAAGGAGGTAAGTCTTCAAAGATCAAACCAAAATACTAGGGCACTCTAGGTATTTACAAAGCACTCTCAGTAATTCCTTAAATTTGGCATCAACTTGACAGTGTTTGCTCAGATAACAAGATATCTTAAAAAAAAAAAAAAAAGGTTCTGTAACTTTCAATTTTCACCAACTTTAGTCATCGTCCACATTAGCGTTAAGGGTGAAGTTAAAAAAAATACTTCCATGACAGGAGACATTTTGTCATTAAGAGGCCGTGACCTATGACCAAGGACCAGTAGCACATTACTGCAAAACCAAGTGGCAACAAACCTTTGGGATAGTTGACGACATACACCAGATTCCCCCAGCCGGCGTCCGGCGCATGCAGAATTCCTTCCACCAGCCGGACCCCTCTCATGCACTGAGACACTGGATTCCTGTAGCGCAGCCCACAAGCACCTGGAAACTGGGCTGTAACTGTGGACAATAGCACTGTCCCATCATCTTCTGAGGGTATTTCAATGGGCTCGTCGTTCTCATCTTCGGTTACCCGAATATACTCAGACATCTTTCCTGGTATTTCTTGAAGGGAAGAGAGAGATGAACGAGGGACACTTGTGTTAAACTGTTTTCTTATAGTCAGCTGGTGACTACCCGACCGCATCGCTGTCTAGGATCCCCAAGTCTGAATTCTTGGAGGGGTTTGTGATCCCTGCAAAACGAGGCGGCAAAAGCAAAGCCAGCGATCCCTGCTACGGCGGGAGACCCCGCCGGCTCCGGCAGCATCTGCCCAAGGCCTGCTCCGCAGCAGGTGCAGCACCTATACCTGAGAGACCTGCCAGTCCCGGGGGCGCGCTGGGGGGCGGGCAGGCTCGCGCCGGAGCGGGGGGCACGCGGGTAACCATCACACCCGTGGTCGCTGCCCCCGGGGAGACCGTCACCCGGGGCCGGGCAGCAGCGACGCCGGCTGAGATGGGGGCGGCGGGGGGGTCGGGGGCCCTGCACTAAGCGATGGAGAAGCAGAGTCTGGAGAGCCGAGCCCCGAAGTCAGGCGCGCGGACGGGGTGAGGAGGCCTCGCTGTTCCTCATTCCGGGACTTCCGGGGCCCCAAACCCGAGCCGCCCGGGCCGCGGCGACGGGTCCCGGCGAGGCCGCTCCCAGCAGCCCGCGCGAGGCGGCGGGGCGGAGTCAGCGCGGCCGGGCCGGGCCGGGCCGCGGCACAGGCCCGAGCCGGGGCCCCGCGAGCCGCGGGCGGCCGCACGACGCGCCCCCGGGCCCGGCCGCCGGGCCACCCCCGGCGCCGCGCCCCCCGCGCCGGCCCCAGCGCCGCCCCGCGAGAGCCGCCGCGCAGGACGAGGCCGGCCCGGCCCGCGGCTCCCCCGCCGCGCCCGCGCAGGCCGCCGAGTGCGGGCCGGCGCCCCGGGCGCCCTCCGAGCGCAGCGCCCGCAACTCACCCGCGAGGCCGCGGCTGGGAACCGCCGGGAGAGAGACGCAGCGAGGGGTCCGAGCGCAGCCCAGCGACCGCTTCGCTCCCACAAAATGGCGCCAGGGCCGCCGCCCCCCCCGCCGGCCCCTTCCGCTCCCACCGCTGCCGTCCGGAGGGGGGGCGCCTCGCCGGCTCTCGGCAGCGCTCCCCCGGCGAGACGCGCCGCGCGCCTGGGCGTGTGGGCGCACGGGCCGGGCGTGGACGCCAAAGCAACACCGGCCTCGGGGCGTGAGAAGCCAAAAATGGAAAGCGCTGTGGCCGCGCCGGCTGCCCGCCCCCCCACGCGGCGTGGCGGATGGTTTCGCCCGGCCAACCGCCGGCCCGGGCTCGGCCGCAGCTCGCGCACCTTGAAAACGCGCGAGACTAGCTCAGGGGGGGGCAAGAGGCGGGGTCACCAGGGGAGAGGCGGGGCGGGGGCGTGGCTTGGCGGGGGCCAGCCCTCCGGGCCCGAGGGCGGCTGGAGAGCGCGGGGCGCCGGCCCCAGTGTCTGCTAAACCCTCCCGGCGCGTCGCTGCTTCCTCTCCTCGCCAGTCTCCACACTTGGAGAGAGTATCTTTAGCCTACCGGGCACTTTTTAAAGCATTCACCCAATAGTGCTGTGTGATGAGCACTGCTGATGCTCTGCAGGCACAAGGGAGGAAACTGAGGCACAGAGAGGTTAAGTATCTGACATGAGGTCACCCAGTTGGTAAATGGGATTTGAACCCTAACCCTGGGTTAGCAAACTTTGAGACACAATTTTTGCGTGTCTTTTCTGAAAACCATGTGTGATTGCTGCTGCTGTTCCGTTGCGGATGTGTCCTTGTGCAGTTGGCAACGATTTTGATTCCTCAGTCTATCAGTGTACATCAGTGAAACTTAGTAATAACAAAGTGGGTTATAGTTATTATTAGCTCATTTCATCCTTATGACAGCCCTTAGGGTGCTGATATCTCGAGGAAACTGAGGCAGGTAGGTTGCGAAACCCTGCGGGAGCTCACAGAGCGGTTGAGTGCTGGGGTCGGGGTTTGAACCTAGGTAGCCGGGCTCTGCAGCGAGTCCAGTCCACTGCCTCCTGCTTCTTACAGCCACCTAGGAATGGATATTAAGTCCCGCAGGTCCATCTCTGACAACATCCCTTCCTGTTAACCAGATTGTAATGGAACCCATTTGGAGGAAGGCAGGAGGGAGTGGAGGTGTTGTAGAGCAGCCCCGATACAAAACGGGGTGCCTGACTGTGGGTCCTCACCCGCGCGCTTAAAAGGACTTATCAATGCTCTACTGCAGGCACACGTGAAAGGTTAATAAAAGGTTTATTTACAAGGGAAAGGGAAATGAGGAAATGTACAGCTCTGGGAGAAAAGTGGGAGACAAAGTTTTAAATGAGTCCTACCCGATCCGCCGATCAGGAATCCCAAAATGGCGCTCTGAGAGCTGGCCGCCAGCCAGGAGCGGTGAAGCCAGGAGGCGAGCGATCGCGAGCCAGAGAGGGAGCAAGGCCCACGTGTTTGGTTTTTATATCCAACCTGGCTGCCCAACTCCACCCTCAGGTCCCAGCCACCCTCCCCTTGGTGGTGATGGGATTTGTCTTTCCCAATGTCCTGATGGCTTTAGTCTGGAGTGGGGGTGGAGTCCACAAAGCCTGTATGAGATTATCTCAGGACTCCTTTCCCCCTAACAATTCCCCCTTTCACTTTTTGCCACCATTTCCATGGTGATGAAGATCAAACATATGGAATTCTGGGATACAGTCTCAGATGAAAAATTTTCCAGGGTTCCAGTCGGAAGAAAACGAATCCCTCCAGGTAGTGTCCATTGTGGAAAGCAAAAGTCCTCCATTTCTGGAAAAACAGTTCATCAGTCCCAGCCAAAAGAAAACATCTGGAGGCATTAGCCAGAACAAGACAGCAGATATGTCAAAAATCACAGGAAAAAAAAAATCTTAAAATGGTTCAACTTATGTAAAGACAAATTCTCTCAACCTTGATCCCAAATTTTTTAAACAGCATAGCAAAAGTTTGCAAACCAAATGTACTTTTAAACCATATTGCCTATTTTTGCATAAAATCACAGGGCAGAATAACTAAGCAGCAATTTTTAGCTGGCTCCGTTGAATACTCATATAGGATTCAGAGCGAACTGTTGACATCCGGTCCGTGTAGGCTTCTGAAAGAAGTTGGTCTCATCAGACTCCACCTGGGCTTTCCTCTTCTACCTCTCACAGAAACAAGAATGTAGCAAACTGCGCTTACACATATTACCAAAAAACCACCCAGAAGCACAGTCTGTAAAGGGATGGCTTGTAAACCACCCATGTGTGTATACAATAGTAAAATCACATGCCATACACCAGGCTTCATCAAATTATTTATATTAATGAAACTGGTGGTGATATTTAATGGAAGAAGGCTGCTCAAATTCAGGCCGGAAGGAAACTGAAAGAACTCAGGCTAGGGATGAAACTGTATAGGCCATGGTTGAGGCCATATTTGAGTCAAAACACACCCACAAGGGCTGTACGCACAGGGAAAAAAACAGACTTTTCAGGACTAGAGACAAATATTATACTGCTAGTCCTGCAGAACTAGTGCGCTTATGGTGACCAACGCAAGGAATGTTACTTTGGGCTGGTCAACCGCGGGTGTAACTTGGAAACCACGCTGGGCGCCAAACTGTTGTAGAGCAGCCCCGATACAAAACGGGGTGCCTGACTGTGGGTCCTCACCCGCGCGCTTAAAAGGACTTATCAATGCTCTACTGCAGGCACACGTGAAAGGTTAATAAAAGGTTTATTTACAAGGGAAAGGGAAATGAGGAAATGTACAGCTCTGGGAGAAAAGTGGGAGACAAAGTTTTAAATGAGTCCTACCCGATCCGCCGATCAGGAATCCCAAAATGGTGCTCTGAGAGCTGGCCGCCAGCCAGGAGCGGTGAAGCCAGGAGGCGAGCGATCGCGAGCCAGAGAGGGAGCAAGGTCCACGTGTTTGGTTTTTATATCCAACCTGGCTGCCCAACTCCACCCTCAGGTCCCAGCCACCCTCCCCTTGGTGGTGATGGGATTTGTCTTTCCCAATGTCCTGATGGCTTTAGTCTGGAGTGGGGGTGGAGTCCACAAAGCCTGTATGAGATTATCTCAGGACATCCTTTCCCCCTAACAGAGGCAGAAGGGGGGCCCTGCCCCCAGGGGTGACCCTGCATACCAGGGACAAGGCTGGCAGCAGATCCTTGGCGGTACTAGTGCTGGACACTGGAGACCTGCATCATCTCAACCCACTCTGTCATTTTGGAGAAGTCATTTTTTTTTTTTTTAATAGTGGCATGCTTTATTTATTTGTTTGCTGGTTTGTTTTGTTTATATATGCACTGGGTACAGTCAGAAGCGTGGGAGGGTGAGAGAATTCACCAGAGCCAGAGCGGGGAGCAGAGCAGGCAGAAGGACCGAAGTACACTGCTGAGGGGAGCAGCGGGCGGCAGGAGAGGTCTGCGCGCCATGTGGGACCCTCCTCCGGTGGCCGGGGAGCAGCCGGGGATCGAACCGGCGCCGCAGAGGCCGCGGGCAGCTTCGCAACCCAGCGCTCAACCGCTGCGCCACCGGGGAGGCCCGAGAAGTCATTTTTATTATCCCCATTTTGCAGAAGAAGAAACTGAGCTTCAAAGGCCATGTGACCTGCCTGAGGTCAAGAATGTCACCCAGTCCATAAATTGCCATCCTCACCTATCAGACACTGAAGCTGCGCTCTGCCGGCCTGCCTGGGCCTCTCAGGCAGGACAGAGACTGAGCCATTAGTGTGGGCAGCCGGGGAGGGGACTTGGATGCCTATTGCCGGTGGGCAGAAACGGGGGGGGTCACACAGGGACAAACCCGCCAAGACTCTCCCTTGCCCCAGAAGTTCTCAGGAGCATTGGCAGACAGCCAGTACTCCCTGAGGAAGGTAAATAACTCCTTCGGGAAGGGAATCGACAAAGGCTGAGGGAGCTGGACAGCAGAGTGCCCTCTTCCTCTCTGAGTTCCTCTTGGGGTGCAGCTTAACGGAGCTGCTTGTCAGCAGTTCTCTTGTTGAAGGTGCTGTGTGTGTTCTGGCTTCTTTGCGTGTGTGTTCACACTCCTCACGCATTAAGCCAGGCAGTTCTTACAGAGGCCGAACAACATCTGTTTCTACTCATTTCCTCCCTTCTGAGCATCTTCCTTGAGCAAGGCTCTCTGAGGATAATGGTCAGGAAGGATGAGCTTGAACCCTCATCCAGCACCGTGTTCGGGCTGCGGTATAGAGACCGACAGAGATGAAAGCCAGCGGAGACCTGGATGCAGTAGTCTATAATCCAGGTGGGGCTGGGGACAGGTAGGGAGCCGAGACAGAGAAAGCCTGTGGGCATCAGCACTGGGCAGGCGCTGCAGGGCTGGGGGGGTTCCCGGTAGCTCTTCCAGGGGGTGGCCTCCAGCATAAGGATGAGGAATCTTGTACCAGACTCTGAGAACAGGCCCAGTTTGCAAACTGTCTCTGGGGCATTCCTCTCTCCTCCAGGGCCTCCCTTGGATTCCCAGCTCTGCGTGCTCTGTAAAGCGAACAGGACAGACCTCTACAGCATTCCTGAAACCTAACAGAAATACCAAGGCAGTAAAGGTAGTTAGCTAAAAGTAACTTTATTTCACCAAGGCTGTTTTCTCCTAATCATTTCCTATGCTCTTGGGTCCCATTCAGATTAGAAGCTGCTTTTCTTTTCTTTTCATTTTAAGATTTAGTTATTTATGCATACAAGAGCTGGGGTGCAGGCCAGAGATGCGGGGGGTGAGAGGATTCACCAGAGACAGAGCGTGGAACAAAACAGGCAGATATACTGAAGTACACTGCTGAGGGGCGCAGTGGGCGAGACAGAAGAGGTCTGCTGCGCCGTAGGGGTAGCTCCCTGGCTGGCCGGGGATCGAACTTGTGCTGCAGAGGCTGCGGATTGCTTCATAGTGCGGTGCTTAACCCCTTGCGCCACCCACCAGGGAAGCCCAGGAGC